CACCTACTGAACTTCAAGCTCCTGAGTAGTTTCCCTGTATTTTTAAGAAGCCCATCACATGCTTGAGGTTAGACACACGCTTCAGCGTCTTACTGGATTGTCTAGTTGGGGTTGAGAAACGAGCTGGTTTAGGAGGGCTACTTGCAGGTGGGCGAAGGTGCAGCTCAGCCAACACGGGTGCCTGGCACCATCTCGGACCGCGGCGTTCTGTATAGTGCCAAGCTGCCAACTGCACTCGCCGCGAGCAGCCACTCGGGATGGTTCTTGGGTTTTTCTTTAGGCTTTTTGCTCTACTATAAACATGAGATGGGAGCTTGATGGTGAGAGAGGATCTCCAGGAACAGTGTTTGAGAGCCGCTCCTGCGAAGAAGCAAGCTGGTGTTCCTTGGCTTTTTACATTGTTACTTTACTTGAAGGTGATGTGCTGAGACTGCGTTTTTGCACTATGCTGTACATTTGTAAAGTTTTACAGAAAACACTAATTAAATATGTTTCCTTTTTCTCATTTAGTCCCGCTCTGGCATTTCTCTCACTACTTTCACCTACCCCTCACTCCTGTCCTCCTTCCCAAGTCCTCCTCAAGTGCAAACAGCTTCCAGGAGGTTCACCTGGGATAGTGTAGGGCCCACTGATGGGCTGTGATTGTCTGTGTGAAAAAACAGGAGCTGGAGAGATGTGGCGTGTAAAATGTGGCAAAGTGAGCACAGCTCAGAGCAGCTGAGTTCTTCAAACTAGAAAGCCCGTCAGCGTGGGTATGTAGGGTAAAAGAATCTATAGTTCTTGAAATTACTTGGTTTTAATCCTTTTAGCCTTTTTTTCTTGCTTTCAGTGATGACGGAGCTCAAACTTCGCTCTTGGAATTACTTTTAAAAATCTTTTGTAAGTGTGGTTTGATAACATGGTCCTTCCTACATATTTGTTCTTAGTGTAATAAGGGGGTACCGGGACAGGCACTAAACCACAGCACGAAAATGCACAACCCAGAGCCTCAGAACAGACCTTATCCAGCTGTCTGTCAGAAAAGGGAAGCAGATAATTTTTAGGACTGAGCTCACAAATGTTATCGGCAGAATTTGCAGCTTTCCGAAGAGCAGATTCCTGTGGAGACGCTTTTCCACAAGCCCATTCTCCACAGGCCCTTCCTCATCCTCCTGTCCCGTCCTGGAGGCCAAGGATTTTACCAGCGTGTTTTTACTGGTGGAAGGTGGAAAATGGCTGAAGTTAAAAGCAATCGAGTCCCTGAAGGGCTTTTACAGCTGCTCTGTATTAGGGTTAGTTCTCTTGCCACCAGATGGCACCTAAGCCCAGCTAATTGGAAATAAATCTTTTCAACAAGCCCATAGTAATTTTTTTTTCTTTAAACGTGCGCATCTACAAGGCCTGCTTAATGATCGTAATAAATAGAATTGGAGATTTATAGAAATATGAAAAAAACCATCCACCAAAACTTGGGTATGATTGGTGAAGTCACTTAAAGCCTAGCTTCTGCTCCTGATGCGATTGTTGGTTATATCATAAAAACAACATCAGCCCTTGAAGACAATGACCCTTTAAGAAGTCTGTTATGTTGCACTTGAACAGTGTGCAATTATTTTCTAATAACTGACTACCACAGCTGCTTCTGCGTTAGGAAAATGAGAGCTGTTGATGCCTCAGCAGAACTGGCCAAGGGTCGTCCATTTCCCCCAACTCTTTCTTTGCAGTGTCGCAGGGGCTGCACTGCTCTCCAGCAGTCTCCACTTCCTTGGATTTTATTCTCGAGCTTGTGAGGAGAAGAAGAAAAAAAAAAAAAAAAGGGAAGGGAAGCAGAGGGAACCTGGCTGAGGTATCGCTGCTGTTATCTTCTGTTTCACTTTGGCACGAGACTACCACTGTGATGTAAGAGAGAAGCTAACAAAAGGAAGCCTTTGGTCAGTTTTTTACACCAAAGCTGTCTTTATGCTGCTACTGACTGGCTGGTTATTTTTCTGTTATATTCGAAATCTGGATCCCAAGACACATCTCACAAGGAAAAACAATGAAAATGGCAGATCTAAGTACATGCTTCATCACAGACTGCCCTAAAAGGTAAAACCAGATTTTCCATGCATGGACACTATTTCTGCATCTGTTTTTGCAAAAACAATCATAACATCTGTAAGTATTGGATCCATAAAATACCCTGCCAAGAAGCAGTCTCCGTTTGTCGTTGAGGTCCATCTAGTACGACATACACTGGTAAGGAGATAATACAAGTTAAAAGATATTTGGATGCATGTAGAATCTTTATTTAGTTCAAATGACAGAAACATGTTACATTATGGATTGAAACCCTAAGATGTAAACGTTTAACTAAGTAACTTCCAGAAGGATGCAAGGGGAAAAAACGATGTTAAGAGAGTGGAATTTAACCTTAAACAGTAGTGCCCTCACTTTCCAAGGTAGCAAACGCTGCCAGCTCCCTGAAGAGCTCGAGGCCAAGGGATCTCCAACAGCTTTGGCAGTGGGAGCACACGGCTCCTGCTGCCTGCGTGTTACAGAGGATTACGCGCCTTTTTCACACTGGTGCAACCAAAAGTTCTGCCCTGAAGGTCAGATGCTGGGCTGCCCGAAGCACCAAGTCCTCCCGCTGAAAGCGGTGGGGTTTGTGTCGCAGTAGCTGTTGGGCCAGTTTTAACTCACGGTCCCATTGCTGAACTCTGCACGTTGAGAATAACCGCATGCAGGCAGCCAGGCACTGTGCTCCAGATTTGGTCTGGGTTTTGTTGTTTTGTTGTTTTTTTTTCCCCCAAGTGATTACTCTAATGCACTCTCACTATCCTTGTCACCTTGTACTTCATGAGGACAGCCTTCACCCTCAGCCAGGCGTGGTACTTCTCCATCACTGCTGTTCCCTGTTAAAAGCATGAAGGCAAAAGGCAAATGAAACTCACTGGTGGTCTTTTAATACTGGAAAAAGAAATGTGGAGTGCAATTTTTTAAACCCATCTAAATAAACCTCAGCAAGAACTTCTGTGTAGAAAAAGAGAAAATAACATTTTAATTCCTGAATAAACAAAAGGAAGAGGTGATCGTTAAACAGCAGATTGAAAATTTTTTCAACAAGAGCTGGCCAAATCTTTACTTCTAGTGTGTACGTGACACCCACCTTTTTCCTCTCTGATTAATTATGTCACCGTAATCTTATCAGGGCAAGTAACTCTAATCTTACCATCCTCTTCCCATGGCCTGGGGTCATCTGGTGGACTGCAGACTGGTGACAGTAGTAGGTTACCCTTGGGCTCAGAGACAACCTCTTGTATCAAGGGTTTTGAGGGGGTTGCTTGCTTATCTTTGATCTCCAGGTATCTTTCTGAATTTGCAGGCTCTGTAAGGAAGCTTTCAACAAGGGGTCTTAAGTGCTCCTTTTCATGCTCTTTATGTGTCTTACGCACGTTTGAAAAAATGGCTGTTGGAAATTCTCCTCCTCCCGAATTCTCAAACACGTTTTTATTGTTTTCCTCTAATGCAGAATCGCCGTCATTTGTCATTTCAGAAATTATTTCAATCTTTGGGTGATATTCCTGCTGTAAATGTAGAAAATGAAATTGAAAATGTATTACTCTAGATAGAAAAGCTAAAAGATGGGTAAATATCTCTTGGATCCACATTACAGCTGTCAGCTTTGATGTGCTGTTCCCCTAAAACGTATGGAACAGCTCTTCTTCTTTGTGGATGAATCTTGGGTTAACTATTTCTCAGGCATTAGCGATGGACTGACCCTAAACTATTAACAGTTCACAAAAAGAAGACCTGTTTCAGCAATTCAGCAATGCGTGGGCTCAGTTCTATTACTTTACCTCCAAACAGAAGGACCTGACTAACATCTTCATCTCACTTCAGTTAAGAACTAAACACCCTTCGGATTGTGGGAGCTGCCAACACGTACTCCTTCAAAAATTATCTTTGTTTCCATCCTTTATCTTCTTTTAATTGGAGGCTCTGTTGGCCAAGACATTTTGCAACACTGTGATGAGTCTGTCGCCAAAAGCAAATAAATTCCATGTCTTACACTGACTGTAGGAAACGTTTGCATTATCTTGGAGGGACTTGTAAAAACATGTCCTGTGTCAGCCTCTGTCTCCAGCAAGGCTGATGAGTCAACATCAGCACGAGAAGCAGAGCTGTGCTTTTCATCTTCGTTGTTCGCTTTTTCTTGTTTCTCTTCTGTTTCTGTTTACAGGCTTTTGCCCAGAAGATCAGTTTGGGCACAGCACACGCTAATGTGGGCGTGAACTGCCTGGTGTCTGACTAGCCCTAAGTGGAGCAGAGGAGTTCCAATCTCTCTGTGTTTTCAGTTTAAAAGTCTGATTTTGTTCAGTAGCAGGTGATTTATTCTATCTGTTCAGTCCTTCGCAGCATATTAGTACTGGTAAAGTATATTTTAAGAGTAATCTTCATTCAAACACTACATGCTACTAAGAAATTAATCTTATTTAACTGTTGCATTACTTGATCTTAGTTTTTCATTCTCTTATTTTTGCCACACAATAATATAAACAAATCAAATCAAAAAAAAAAGTTTATGAGTGGACAGAGAAGATCTGCTGAAACATCCGTTTTAGTTCATAAATGCGTAACTGATTGCATCTCCCAAAATAGCATCTCACAACTTAGATTATCCTCATTTTGCAAAACATTTACAAGCTGTGCCACTGGAATGAATAAGATTCTTACCTTTTGAACAAAGCTTTCCTCTTCTGGGGGAAATTCATTTGCATCTATATCTTCTAAATCAGGCAGTTCCTGAGGACAATCACAAGACCATTACTCAGTGGGAAAAACTACTCTAACCAATAAAACACATCTCTATCTCATTGGGAATCTTCAAAGCAACACTTTTCAAAGAAAGAGGCCACAGCCAGGAACACTGCACTGACACCCTCTCCGAGATGACAGTTCCCTCTGTTAAGCACATGTGGGAAAAGGAAAATTCATCTGTCTCCAGAAATAGCACATGGGAAGACAATAACCTTAATGTCAGACTGAATCCTATTTTCTACTATACTGCATGATTATGAAAAAAAAAAAAAGAAAGGAAGATAAAAGGATAGACAGTAAGGCACTAACAGGATTTTAAAAGCAAACGTGGTACATCTATTAGCTGTTTCTTATTTATTCAATAGACTTAACGTCAACAACAAATGACAGGTAAGAGCCAAATCAGGATCTGCAGTCTACCTGAAAGTGTTTATCAGTAAACTCTGTTAACCTCAATACATCTCATAAAACAATGTTTTACTGTGAATGCCTCATAGTTAAGGATATAGAACTGGAAACTTGCTGAGAACAGTTCTTTCCTCAGACAGGTTCAATCATTTCAGTTTTTCATTAGAAAATATTATCTAAGGCAACTGCTACTTGCTGACATCACAGCGAAAATAGAGGGCGGGCACACAAAATCACAGGTAGAGAGAACACCTTTCTGCCAATTCTTTGATGTAGCTCAATACTGGTAAAAGCATCTCCTTTTGGTTTTAGAACTTAATGATTTTGTAGCAAACTGCTCGACGTGGCAGCATCAGAAGCACTTCCTCTGCACTGTCTTGTGTGGTGAAGATTATTACAGAATAAAATTCAACAAAGGAAACTCCTGTTTCCCAATACGGTTGCAGCTAGCATGGCGTGGCGTGAAGTCACATAGTTTTACAAGAATAGCATTAAAAATGTACAAATTAAGGTTTGAGACTGATGTTAGTGAGTGGAATCTGATGTCAAAAGGAAAGTGAAATAGCCATGAGTCTTGTTCCAGGCAGCAGGGTGCACGTGCCCAAACCAAAATTGCTTACTAAAAATTACCCTGGTTTAGGTAGGCAGAATGCAGTTCAAACACCACCCATGGCATGTGCAGCAACATGGGCTTGTTTCTGCTTGACAGAGGGATGTCACAACCGCCGCGTTACAAATCCTCCTCCGCTCTTCTCCCTTATATTACTACTGAGACTATCTACTGACTCCAGGACATGAAGAGGACAGTGCTGCTCCAGAGCTTCTCCCCGTTGGCATCTTCACAGCCGTTCCCTGCTATGTCAGCACTAAGTTTCTTGGGAAAATGTGCAGTAATGTAAGTATTGGGGGTTGTGGTGAGAAGCTCTTTACATCGCTAAAGGCCAGTTGGAGAACAGAGTAGCAGAGAACACTGAAACATGTATTAGTGTGTGATTTGGGTTGGGTTTTTCTTCTGTAGAATTAGAATAGTCACACTTAACGTGTCAAGAGAAGCCCTTGTGCTGCAGAATTCCTTTGCACTATGTTAAGTTTGTGCACAGGAGTGTGCTAGGGTGCCATATAGCACCAAGGAAAAAACACACACTGGATTATGAGATCTTCACATTGTGAGTATCTACGGTATTGCTATTTATTTAAAGCTTTTATTTCAGACTCTGCAAGAACTGCGTATAAAAATACTTTGAATGCACTTGGAATTGCTGCCGGTTCTCTCCGTTATCCTTGTTAAAGCTGTTATTAAAAACAGCCAAACAGGAGGATGCAGCAGTAAGCCCTCTACTGAAGCAGTGAGTTGAGCCCTTTGATAACAGGATGGAATTTTTTCTTGGAAAATTAAGAGCACAGAAAAGATATGAGATTTTTCTAAAACATTTCAGTAAGAATTTAGTTAACAGCAGCAGTATAAGGGGTCAAAGAGTATATTAAGTGCTCTGGGAAATCGTAAGCTCTGAAGTTTGTTATTGCTCATTATGTCATAATCTGACGCTGTCAGTTTAGCAGCAGTGTCATAATTAAGACATATTGACTAGCTCTCCTTTGAAGTGAGATTGTGTTTTTCTGTGGTAGCCATGTCCTCCTCATAGATTTCATAGATTTCATAGATTTTCTAGGTTGGAAAAGACTTTAGAGATCATCCAGTCTAACCGTCCCTAATCTCCCATTAAACCATATCCCTAAGTAGTTCATCCACCCTTTTCTTAAACTCATCCAGGGATGGGGACTCAACCACCTCCCTGGGTTGTTTGCCTGGGCATGTTTGTATCATCAGATAGATATCTTAGATAACTGAAGACTGTATTACAAATGTCAATCGCTTATTATATACCTGAATAATGCACGTGCTGCTTTTCTTGGAAATACACCTCAAAATTGTATTTTGAGAATTAATTTCTAATATCGAATACTGCCAGCTAGCATTTACAATGAGTCGGTGGCTATTTCTTCCTTAAACTATTTCTGCAATAGTTCACATTGTCAACTACGTATTTCATTTGAGTTTTGCCTAAGAAGACACATGTATCTACTAGATTTTTCTTTTTGTGATTTCTGTTTTTTAAATGAGAGCCCTCTTTAACTTCTCCAGAGAAATCACAGAGATAGAAGGTCAGCTTCAGGTGATTTATGGCCAAAGGACAAAATAAACTTTGGAAGTGGTGGTAAATTCTTTACACGTGCTACACTGAAGAAAATGAATACCCCTACAACTTTACTTTTTTGGTGGTTTTTTTTTTTCTTTCTTCCCTTTTACTTTTTCTAATAGTAGACCTTTCTTAGAAACCCAGCCATATAGTTTTATTAGCCAGGATGTTACAGGAATTAATTTGGGAGCAGACAATGCCAAAATGTGAACTTCCCAAAATATGAATCCAATACTTACATCAAGATAAAGCTTCTCCAGTTTGATTTGTTCAATTTCAGCATATTCATCCAGTTGAGGAAGCACGGCCTTTTCAGGAGCTGCCTTCTCTCTTGGCAGATCTAAAGAACAAATAGTCAGTTGCAGAGAACTTAGTGAATAAAAGGCTTTTCTATATTGCAACAGCAAGCACTGCGAACCCAAACTGCTGGGGACCTGACTACCACTGCAGAATTCACAGCTGAATCCAGCTCTTTCCATCACACTCTGGGTCTCCTTCATGTTGTATAAATCAATATTCACATTTTGCAATAATGTATTCCACAAAAGCATTCTTCTGTGTGTGAAGGCACAAAACCACTTCTAGAGTGATGTCCAGCTTCTGCTGGCAGACAGACCGCACGGTTTATGTGGGAGCAAGGAAAGCCTGTAAGCTCTTCTGTCCTGTCACTAAACCTGGCACGTATGAGAAGTGGAATTCCACCTTTATGTAGCAGAAGTTGCAGGTTGAGCCCTCGGAAATTTTTTTGCTTTTTGTATTTCAAGAATATTTTATCCAGTATCACTTGATTTTCAGCTAGTTGCTGTGGAAATCTAATGGGGTGTTCTTATCTATCAATCGGTTTGAATCACGGCAGAGGCCGCGCTACATTAAGACAGAATTTGGCTCATTGTCTCTACATCCTCAGTTTGGTTTGATTCTGCACTCTGTACATTACCTTCTGTCTTCTTGTTGAAGTTTGAGCATTTGTAAGAGTTTGATTCTTGTGCATCCTCTTGAATTCCAGTAGGAATATTTCCAGATGTGAAATCTGTGTTATCTCCCCTATTTGGTAGAAGTGTTATCGCTTCCTCAGAAGCATCCAAACTTTCATTTCTAAACTTCTCAGTCTTCTCTTGAGTTTCTTCCTCCTCTGATATATTTGAAGTCTCTGAGGTATTAGCATTTTGACCACTGGCATCTGAATTTGCAGGTGCTCCTACAGAAGAGACATGTTCATTAGAACTGCTGAGTTAATCTACCATTACTCATTCTAAATATCCAAACTTTAATACATGGTCATAATAGTTTGGCCTAAAACGTGCATCAAAAGCTCCTACTTTGTTTGAGCAGCTGCTCATGGATCAGTAGTCCTCCCAAGACTGCAGCCATGTTGTGGGTTTTCCTATCTCAATTCCCTAGCAAATACAGTTACCCAGGAAAAAAAGACTCATCTAGAGAAAACACTATGGTAAATAATTGTCTGGTATCTATAGTTGACTTTGAAAAGACTCACAAGTAACTACATATTTAAATATATGCTTGAACATTTTGATGGAGCAGTGACAAATGCTGAAGTTATCCTCTCCTTTATGCGATCTACCTGCTTGCAGAAAGTTTTACTTGTTAATCAACCACGTTTGATTTCAGAGCCTGTGAAACCCAAACATCTATCAGCTGATAGATAAACACTCCTCTGCACTGCAGTACTGCCTTCGTATTTGGCTTCTGTCCTGTCCATCCTGAAACACACACATTTCTCTAGAAAGGTTAGGTTGGGACCTATTACTGGTCGTACACGTACACCTCCTTGAATAACGTGACAGGAAAATTTGTGGCATCAAAAAGGGCAGTAAGTGAAGCAAACCATTAAAGCCTTTCCTCTTACTGCCTGTTTTACTGCTGCTGCAGGCTCTAGGCTGAAGCTCTTGCAGCTAGCGAACACAGCGGTGGAGAGGTGCCTGGGTGGGCCTGGTGAGGCGGTTATCGCTCCGTCTTACTGGAGTCCACATGCCGACTGAAGCCAGCCCTGTTCTGCATCTTGGGGAAGTAT